CTGTCCCAAAAATAAATAAATGTTGAAAAAAAAAATTAAAAAAAAAACAAAAACAAAAACAAAAAAAAAAACAACGCTGTCTGAAGGCTTGCAAACAGACCCCTATTCCCGGAGCTCGCACCCCCACCACTAATGAGGATGTCTCTGATTGGCGAATCGGAGACAGGCCACACCCCCGGGAGACCCGAGGGGGCCCAGGGGGCCCCGTGCGGCCCTACATCCTGGGGCGCCCGCCACAGACACAGACAGCTTGTCTTCTACACCAGGGATTGCTACACTCTGCCGATCAATCACTCTGATCCTCAGGAACCGGGGCCAGGGTTTCCCACTGTGGGCATTTGGGCGCAACAGTTCTTTGCTGCAGAGGACCGTCCCCGGTATGTGAGACCCACTGAATGTCAATAGTGGTCCCCGCTTCCAATTGCAGGGTAGAGAGGCAGTATCCAGTATTCCCCTGGCTGAGACCTATGGGCCTCACCGCTGCATCTGCACATTTGAGTACACACTCCAGTGAAGGTCACTGGACGTCAGACTTTCTCAGCCCCCATGCCATTGACATTTGACATGTGTTCCGTGCACTGCAGGGGTTTTAGCAGCCACCCTGGGCTTCACCCGCTAAATGTCCGTCATTTATAACGTAAGGAATCTGGGAAGATTGCTAAGTAATTGCTGTATAAATTATTAACCTAAGGAAGTGGGAAGAGTTCTACCCCAAACCAGGACCCTTTCTCATTTCTGTTCCTTTTTTCCTCGGTTGATCGTGGGGAAGGGGAAGGAAACAGGAATCAGGGCTGTATGGGGCGGGAGCTCTAGAACAATCAGTCTGCATCTCCGTCCAAACCTGCACAGACCAACATGGTCACTCAACTGTCACATGCTGATGTGACAAATCAGAATAGAAGGATATATTAAAAACATAAAAGAAATAGAAATAAACTAAACAGGGCGCCCGGGTGACTCAGTTGGTTGAGCGTCCGACTTCGGCTCAGGTCATGATCTCACGGCTTGTGAGTTCAAGCCCCGCGTCAGGATCTGTGCCGACAGTTAAGAGCCTGGAGCCTCCTTCAGATTTTGTGTCCCTCTCTCATTCTGACCCTTGCTCGCTCACACTCTGTCTCTCTCTCAAGAATAAAATAAAACATTAAAAAAATTATGTTTTATTTTATTCTTGAGAGAGAGAGAAAGAGTGCAAGTGGGGGATGTGTAGAGAGAGAAGGGGGGAGACACAGAATCCAAAGCAGGCTCCAGGCTCTCAGCTGTCAGCACAGAGCCCGATGTGGGGCTCGAACTCACAGACGGTGAGATCACGGCCTGAGCCAAAGTCAAACGCTTACCCAACTGAGCCACCCAGGTGCCCCAAAATATTTTGGGGGGGAAAAAAGAAAGAAACTAAACAAACCAGGCTCAATGCTTAGGAATCTCATTGGTCCAAAGCCTCTTACCTCAAATGACTAGCACAGTAGTGCCTGGCACATAGTAAGTGCTCAATGAACACTCAGCCAGAAGGATCTCAAATAGCCTCCCTGCATTTATTTTTCAAGGCTTCCTACTGCAGGGTCCCTGTGGCCGCAGAGCAACACGGGCAGGAAGGGCCCGGTGGATGAAATGTTGGCATACACCTGGGAGGGGAGGTGGGTACGCCCTCCGCCAACAGGATGAGGCAGTGCGGTCGAGCCAGACCAGCTGCAAGCCTTCTCGGTGGGTCTCTGGCCGCTGCCCCCACCCCTGAGCCAGGAAGGCAGGCGGTGGGCAGGCTCTGAACCCCCACAGTTACTGTGGTCTATGTGTAGCTACAGCTCTCGGGGGCGGGTGGTTATAAAAGGTTTCCCACCTGCCTACTTCCTCTAGCAAATAGGCCAAGTGTCAGGGTCTTGCGAGTTCAAGGCAAAAAATGAAAAGTAGCTGTCCTTCCCCTTCCCAATACCCTTTAGCAAACATGCGGCCACAGCCTCCCCACAGGTGGGCTCTTCCTTCCTGCAGGGCTCGGTCCGGAGCCCAGCATCCTCTGGTTTTGAGGAAAAGGGACCTGCTGAGAGTTCACATAGCTGTGCCCGGTTCAAGGTTTGGCATCCGGGCCACCAGGTGACCACGGCTCAGAACAAGTAGAACAAATTCCCAGTCTCACCCTTCCACCCTACTGGAAGCAGTTCGTGCCTCCTTCACCCACGTCCCAACACCGCAGGTATCCATCCACCAGGGGCCATCAGAACAACTCCACACAGACAAGGAACCTTCAGGAGGCCTGGGGCATCGGCATTCAGGCCCCGTCCTGCGCCCGAACCCAATGAAGGTCTGGCAGCGCGAGATAGGATTACTCGGGGCAGAGAGGGGAGGGGTGGCCGTATGCTTGGAGAGCATTTATAGTAAAACAGGGCTTCCCCGTGGCTGGGTCTGGGGTGGGAGGAGAGCTCGCTCCTTCCTAGCCCCCCTGGTCTCCACCAACAGCAGAAGCGGGACTGAGCCCCACCCATCTCTACGCTGGCCGCCCAACCCCGGGAGTGGGCTCACCACACTGGTGAGTTCACTCAAAGACTGTTTTCAACATTTTTTTTTTTTTTTGAGGGCGGGGATCGCAGTGGGGGGGAGCTCCTGGAAATAAAAGCTGGCCGGCCAGAGCCACTCGTAACAACAAGAGTAACAGCTAACACCCACCACCCCAGCTGTTCCCAAGCACGTTCCATGAGTGAGCTCGCAGTAACCCTGTAGGGAAGGCACTTAGAATCACAGTCTCCATGTTTCAGATGGGGACACTGACGCTCGCTCCGCAGTGAAGCAACTTCACTAAACGCCTTCCTACCAAGAAGCCAAATTTTGACATTTTGAGAGAGCCTGGAGAGGTCTCTTTGAAAGAAAAACTACCGTCGGGGTTAATAATTGACAGCATTTCCGATTCAAACAGCTGTTAAAACAGCATTTGGTCCAATTCAAACAAGCCCTAAACATCAGTTCCAAGAAAGGGGGGGGGGGGAGGAAAAATCCAGACATGTGGCTTCAACAATTGGGACAGGTCACAAATCACCAACTGGAACTAGATCACACGTCGGAAAACTCTCGGCGATCCAGGGAATTGTTATCAATAAGGCAGCCGTGGTCCGTGCGAGGCTGGCCCTGGTCCTTCCCTCCGCGCGGGTCCCGCAAAGTCACCGCCTTCTTTGAGCCAGATCCTCAGATACAAACCCGAGAGCAGGTAGGTGCCGGCGGCAGGAAGACGGCCGCCTTTGGAAAAAGGTGTTTGGGGAGGCTGGTGCGGCCTTTGAACATTGCTTTTCAAGTGTGGTTCAAAGCAGGCAGCTTTGCTGGTGGAAAAACACTGTTCCTCAGAAGGCACTAATCTACCAGACACAGACAGAAGCAGTTCAGAGACAGGTGCACAGAGACCCCGCGAGATGAAGAATCTGCGCTCCCGACTGGGCGCGGGGAGTAACGTCTGCCCCGCGTCTCCGTCGAGACTGTTAGGCTAATAGACGACGGAAAACAAGATAGTGGGGGGCAAGGGTAATTTCCCAAGGAGCAAGCTGCTCAGCGTGCCTTAGTGGCTCCCGTCTGCGCGATGATCATCTCCTCATTAAAAGCAGGACCTCCAAACATCTGGCTGTAAACCGAGGGTACCTGAGCATTCTAGAAGGCTGCGTCTCGAACCGCGCTCCTGTATGCACGGCCCTGC